ACTCAAAAATTGCGCCAACGAACTCACCCCAACTTTCGCAAAATTATTCAATTTGTCTTACAGGCAAGGAGTATATCCATCATCATGGAAGTCTGCCGCAGTACAACCCATTCCAAAGAAAGGAAAAAAGACAGATCCGTTAAACTATAGACCAATTGCTCTACTTCCGGTGATATCAAAAGTAATGGAAAGAGTTGTGAACAATCACCTAACCAAGTACTTGGAAAAGTACAAAATTATCAACGATAAGCAATACGGATTTCGAAAATATAGGTCAACTGGCGATTTACTTACATACGTCACTCACTTATGGCAAAAAGCGATTGAGTTGCGGGGTGAAACAAGAACAATTGCCTTAGATATATCTAAAGCATTCGACAAAGTTTGGCATGAAAATCTGCTCAACAAGCTCAAAGCAATGGGATTATCGCCGAAACTTTGCACTTGGTTTGAAAGTTACCTAAAGGACAGATCCATTTATGTTGCACTGGATGGCCAGAACTCCAACTCTTACCAAATAAATGCTGGTGTGCCACAGGGAGCAATCCTTTCGCCAACTCTTTTTCTGATTTACATAAATGACCTCATAGATAAAACAGTAAATCCACTTTATTGCTTTGCAGACGATGGCAATGTAGTCTCCTCACTCATACCACCGACAGGTCTTTCCGCACGTGAATTCCATCATCTTAGACTAACTCAAATATCGCAGATAAATAACGACCTGGAGATAATAGAGGACTGGGGTAACAAAAACCTTGTACAGTTCAACGCGCAGAAAACCCAAGCAGCTCTGTTTTCAAAAAAGACCAGCACCGGTGAGCCAAACATCATGCTATCTGGAAGTGCTGTCACATTACAGAGTCAGTTGAACATCTTGGGGGTTACTGCAGAGACCAACATGTCTTGGCACAGTCACGTGGCAGATATTGCTAAAAGGGCCTCCCAAAAGCTGGGGGTGCTATTTCGTACAAGACATCTGTACACACCAAGCCAATTGCTGACACTCTACAAAGCCCAGATTCGACCAACTATGGAGTACTGCTCACATATATGGAGTGCAGCACCCAAACATACCTTAATGCTTTTGAATACCGTGCAAAAACGAGCTATCAAGCTGATCAATGACCCCGCACTTACTCGTAACTTGGATGGTCTCGAACATCGCAGAACGGTGGGCGATTTATCTCTCTTCTACAGGTACTATCACGGAAAATGCTCTGAAGAGTTGGCACGTATGATTCCACCGAGAGTAGCACCTACCAGGCGAACCCGTCAAACAGACGGTAACCATGAATTTACTGTCAAACTAGAGGCACCAAGAACCTCATTATATCAGAATTCATATCTCTGGAGAACAGCATCGCTGTGGAATAAACTCCCTACGACGGTTTTCCCTGCAGGTTACAACCTGAACCGTTTCAAGACCAACATACACCGACATTTCCGCGCACTTGCCGCTTCTCGAGCGTGATAGGACATTTCCTTGCGAGTGCGCATATCCGTAAAAAAAAAAAAAAAAAAAATACCTAGAGATATACCTACTTAAACCTCTAGGTTTGGCTCAAAATATAATATAAATTAAAATTAATCGCCCTATACCTAAGGGAGTGCAAGAATCAAGAAGCAGTAAAAACTGAACCAAATAGGATTAATGAAACTAGAATAATAGTTGAATGCGATCAAAATATAGTTGTAGCAGCAGACATAAAACTTCCACAGACTCATGATATTTCAGAAGCAGAAAATGTAGATTTTTTTGCTCTTCAAGCACAGCAATAAAGCAAAAAAAAAATTCATGCCATTTGGATTTTTCAAGAAAATTAGAAAAAAATTGGATCAACAGCGCCCTTCAGAAGACGCTTTGAGAATTGTCGACCCCGAATGAAGTGGTATTCACAATGAAATTCTCTTTCAAATGAGCCCAAATTGAATGAGTTGGATAAGGGGTATGGAAGATACAGCAATTTTTAATACTTTTTCACCAGCTTCCCCCACCCTTATTAGTGAAGACACGAAAAAAGCCTTATGACCAAACTGGCGCAAAAATTAATGAACTTTTGATTTCTGTATTAAAACAGTACCTATCTTAATACAGCGATTTTTGGGGAAAATTTGAATTTTTTGTTATATCATCGTGATCGCGCCCCCTAGCGGTCATCTCAGAAATTTGCAAATAATTTCCATCAATTCCTCTTGGCCGATTTAGTGGAGAAGAAAAATCCCGAAGCCGTAAGGTCTATGGTTTCTATGATATCGTACCTTGCCGACTTTATAGTGGAACACCCTGTATATACAGGGTGTTTGGTACATCGAAAGGAAGCTTTCAATGAGTGATACTTGGGGTTATTTGGGAGCTGTTTGACCACATTTACCCTTGAGCAAAGTTTCGTCGTTTTTGAGATATCAGCATTTTTAGATATGTTTGGGAAATATTTGAATTGTTCCTGAAAAACATGTTTTTTTTTTTTTTTTTGGTAGAAGCACTTTCTCAATTTTTTTTTGCGGTATTCCTGTGTATGTAGCCCAAAATATCTAAAAATGGCGATATCTCAAAAAACGGCGAAACCTTGCATGAGGGAAAATATGGTCAAACAGCTTCTAAATGACACCAAATATCACTCATTGAAATCTTATCATCGATGTACCAAACACCCTGCATATATATTTTTTAACTTTTGAAGCTTATGGATTAATTCCAAAGTAAAGTTCCAAATTCATGAATAGTTAGCACGCTAAGTGCAAACCAACTTCGTTTATATCAATCCGTTTAGATTTTACAACCTGTCAAAGTTGCATTTCTTAACTGTATTAATTGTTTCACAAATTGCAATGTTTTTTCCACTCAACTGAATTTTAGTACTTGGGTATTTCATTTATATATTTATATGGTTCGGGTTCGAAAAAGTATTCAAAAGGAGCATGAGAATAAGACATAAGGGAGAGTCGAAATTCCAAAAGCAATTACAAAGTGACAAAAATATCAAAACAGCAAATAAAGGTTGTTTTTTTTTTGTGCGTATTTTAAGGGGTTTCACAAAAGACACCTACAGATCTCAAAAACATTATATTTTGAATAAAATATACCAATTAAAAATAATCAAAAAATACAGCAAATTGTCCAAGTTCAAACATGGAGGAAACATTTTGCATTGAATAAAGCCAAAAACTAAAAATAGTCATTTATTGGAAAGGTCCAAACATCATATGCTAATAACCCCGGATTCTAAAAAAATTTAATTATTAATAGGATCACAAAAATTGATTAGGATTTATTAATAAAGTTGAGCTTGCTCCATTTACTTAACAAAAGGTTTACAAAACATTAACCTAACCATTGATTCCTCCCCACAACATTAGGCATTCAAATATGTTTTTCGAAACACATTGTTTCCAAATGAGTAAAACTGTTTTAAATTTTTAGTCCGCAAGCATATGTAGTTTTTGTAAACCTATTTTTTTTATAATCTCTAGTAAGTAGATTTTTTAATGATGTTGGATAAGAATCATTTATTCCATAGGGGAAATTCTTATCTCAGCTTTTGGCTTCCAATAATTTTTGGTGCCGTCCGTTAGCGTATCCAAACATTAAGTACGTTTTCTGAAACCGATTTGGATACGTCTTTGATATTGAAAACCCCATAAGAATAGGTATTTGAGAGATAGTCTAAAGGTTGATTCACTTTTTTCGCTTGCATGAAAACGGAGATTGTATAAAAGTCGAATTGAAAAATAATTCAGATGCGCATGAGCACGATTTTTGCTGAGGTTAGAGTAGAATTGTTTAGTTATGTTTAGAGATTTTGCTGTTTTTTTCACTTGAGTTGAATTGTATTGAAAAAGTGCTTCATTGTCCAAAAACTAATACGTTCTTATTGACAAAGCTATCTAAACTAAGTTAAATTAAAATTAAAATAAAATAAAAATACTTTTTTTCCGTAATTATTACTAAACATTTTTCAGCAGGCATCTGCTGTGTACCGTGTACATACAGAAAATTGAAAAAAAAAAAATGGGAAAAACAAAAAAAAAGCAGACAAATTAATACAATATACATATTATATATCTCTTACCTCAGAAGTATACAATAACTAATCCATTAACACAGTTGGTAAAATAAAGAAAAATATAGGTAATACGTATATTAAGTTGGTATAGTTTTTACGAAAAAGACAAAAAAACGACTAGAAAAATAAAGTTCCTAAATAAAAAGAATTTAAACATAAACATAGGTAGTCAAATCTTTACAGTTAGATCATGTTAACTATCATTGTGTCATCTGTCTTCAAATATATTTCAATTCAACTCACACGAGACCGTGCAATACCTACCTAATTACTATCTTCGTGATAATCTTGGAGAAAATCCCTTCCAGGTCGTTCGGTACTAAAGCTTGCACCAAGTCGCGGTTCTAGGCAGGCACACTGTTACCATAAATTTGAGAGTGAAGTGGCAAACTGGGATCCAGTTTTAGTTGCGGATCCGCAACTACGCGTTTCAGTGCTCTTGCAACTTGTAACTGCGGTGTATGATCCACAAAGAAAATAGGAACCAATTAATCAAGTCAATCATTTTCGCCTGCAGTAGTTTTTAGTAGAGCATGGCGCCATCTGTTGGTGCATCCGAACACTATAATTTATATCTGGAAGGAACAATTATTCCTTAAAAAAGCCAATAATACTAAAATAAGCAAACCATTATTCGGGGAGAACGATAGGATAGCGGGGTTAACTTTGCGACACATTTGCCATTTTCTCGAAAGAAAAGACGTTACGGAAAACTGTATCAAAAGATATAGTACTTCTCAGATTTTGAGGTGACAGAGCTACCAATAGTAGGTACATGAGCCTATATTATTTTTAAATACAGACTTCTGCATCATATAATCTTCATATCATATAAGTATTTCATAATCTTGTTTTTACACTTGCACCCTGACTAATTAAAAGCTCTATTTACTACTACTGTGTCAAAGGTCTTACTTAATACCATGACATGACAATGTTTCGTTCTTTAACATTTTATTCTGCGGATGCCACTTTTTTTGATGTTTTTTAAAAGCCTTGGTCGCGCTTCAATTTTTTTTTTTTCGCAAAATTTATTTTTAGTTATTAGTTCCTAGGGATATACCTCTGATATGGCGTTGATACTTAAACGAGCTTATCAGAGCTATTTTTGGCTGATGGACGAATTATCAGGTAATGGTTTTGAAAATTACAGATATAGGTACTTACTTAAGTCTCGTCAATTAGACAAGATGATGTTCTTTTTAGAGCTGTTATTAGTTAAATTTTCAGTCTTTAAAACATTGTTCAAGAAATTGGGTTACATTTTCATATAGATATTTTACTTTCAAAAGATTGAGCACTTTCGAATAAATGCTTCCTCATTAAAAAGCGACATGACGCCATTTTAAATATCATTTCAATGGAATGCCTGCTAAACCAGTACGTCGTTTTTGCGACTGTCTAAATAATATCATGAAACATTATTTATTTGATTATTATTATTATTATTATTATTATTATTATTATTATTATTATTGCTTCAATCATATAGATTTCGTCAACATAAAATAATGAATAACAAAAAACCTGCAATTTCAGAACATTTAAAATTAAGTAGGGGTATTCCGATGTTGCACCAATTATCTCAATTTTCAAATTTCAGATGTACCTTATACTGTGTATATTAGGTACAGTTGCGGCAAACTTTTTGAACGTAGCTCGTATTGCATCAAAATCTGACTTTTTTTAACAAGCCGTCGATGCCAAAATTGTGTCAAAGTGATAAATCAGTGGTGAACTAGAACAGTTTTATTAATTTTTTATGTAAGATTTTATATCATCATATTACACACGCCACTGACTACTCTTGTTAGTTATAGTTTTGGTCTGGTACAGAGCGCGTTCGAAAAGTTTGTGCCAATTCCAATGGCCACAACTGTACATACCAACTATTTCGCTAAAATTAGTAATTAAACCTAAGTCTTATGACATGCCCAAATATCACTTTCTGACTTTAATTGAACTTCAATTTTTTGATCAAAGCTTAGCTTTTTCGTCCAGAATAAACCCTCAACTGTAGAGGCGGAGTCCGATTGAAACCACCGATTAAGATTGTTGTTGTTGTTGTTAGGGGCACGAACCTTGAACCTCCCGCTATTTTCCTACATTCCAGGGAATAGTGTGACGTTTTATCATTCATTTGACGACGAGACTAATATGTTCGCTTGCGGGGTCGATCGGATCCCACATCCATGATAGTGTAAGTAGGATTATTTTCAGCATGGTAAAATCCTGGAGGTCGGGTAAAGCCTACTGATCAAGATTTTGAAAGATTGCTTGAGTGTGAATTTTATAGCATTGGTGCCGAAGATAGCGAATATGGAATTATAGAAGAAAACAGGACCGATTCCAGAAAATTTTACAAGAATAATAAGACACCAAGGCACACTGTTTCGTGACAAAAATTTGGGAGTCGGCAGTTCTGAAAACGAAAAGCCTACGGACGGTTACTCTCCCCAAAAAAAGATCCCTATTCTTGAAACAGGGGAGCAACATTCCCGGGAGAACGAGTGTTCCGTCTTTCCCAATGATATGCAAATGATAATATAAGTATCAAAGACGGAACACTCGTTCTCCTGGGAACGCTGCTCCCCTGTTTCTAGAATAAGGACCCAGGAAAGTTTGTTTCTTCACTTGTGGCCGTATAGGACAGAAGTGGAACATCATTTAATTCTATCATGTTATTTCCGATAGCTCCTTAGTGGAATATACGATATGTACACCCTCACGAAAAAATGTGTGCCAAAAAAATAAGTAGGTACCTATTAACACATATTAACTTGCTGTTTCCGTTATTAGAAAAAACACATTTCACACTATCCTTCCTGAACGTTTTATTTGTTTTACATACACTTTTCACCCTACCTAAGCGCAAAAATATGTGTTTGTCAAAGCAAAGTTTTTTTACTAAAGTTGACACATTCTCAAACGTACACGTTATTGACAAGCATTTTCTTGCAGCTTTAACCCTGTCTGTGGTATATTGAATGGAATCCCCTTTACTCCTTTGGTATTTAGACACGTAAGGGTATTATGAAAAGAAAGGAGCGTGTTACATTTAAAATATCGAATTTTTTTTTTTTCAGATCCAAGGGCTTTAGAATATCCCTTAATGAGATCACCCATTCCAACGATAATAATCCTCTACCTGTGGCTGAAATTCATCTTCCATTGGGGCCCAGAATATATGAAGACAAGAGAACCTTTCAATTTGAAGAAAATTATGATAGTATATAATATTCTACAGATGATTGCTAATGCATATATCGTTTATTACGTAAGTACACAATCTGAATACCCAACTATTGTTTGTTGCTCAGTTTAGGCTTTATAAAAACCAACTCACTCAGTTTCGTAGTTTCGGACATTTTTTGATAGCGTTAGGACGAGTTTAATCAACAGTGTTTTTACCAAAGGGACTGTGCAATCTAACTTTATTTTCAATTTGATATTTTTGGCATGATTATGAAATTGATCCTTAAATATTTTTTTTTTTAGACCATTATGGCAAGAGACATTATAAATTGGCGTTGTACGGAAGTGGACTATTCTAACAGTTACTGGGGTCGCAAATTTTTAAGTGTAGCTTATTTTTATTATATGTTGAAAATATCTGATCTTCTTGACACGGTAAGTAAATGAAACTTAATAAAAAAAAATTATCATTATACTTTACTTATAGTCGGCCACCTTGTATTAGTTTTAAGATGTTCAATATTTTCTCTAATTTCATTATTTTATTTTTTTTTGAATTACCTACCATTTTAACCATCTAACTATAATGACACTGATAAACTTTTGGAACTTCATACAGTGTGTCAATTTGAAAACTTCCCACCCCTATTATCTCGGAGTAGAAAAATTTTCGAAAAAATCCCTGAAACACGTCAACTATAATTTGAAGGGGAATGAGTTTTTATGTAAAATTCACCTTCTCTCTTGGAACCCCCCAGCCCCCAGAGCCCCCCCTAGAAAATTTTAAATGGCGAGGGGGTCAAGTGATACATCATTTTGCAGAGTTTTTAATTCCATACATTTAGGTACTAAATTTCAGTCCGTAAGTTCAACTGTTTTGGAAATATTGACAGTTGAAAATTGACTTTTTTGCAACTTTGACAGGCTGTAAAACCTAAACGGTTAATTTTAGAGGAAAACCGATCTTAAATTTTTGTCTTAGATTTTCATAAACTATCATGTGACACCATTTTTGAGTTTAACCGGAGATTCAATTTTCAACCGGAATTTTTGATCGCGGATTAAATTCGAAGTTGCTGTCAAATGATAGTTTAAAAAATCTAAGACAAGAATGTAAGATCGGTTTTCCTCTAAAATTAACCTTTTAGGTTTTACAGCCTGTCAAAGTTGCAAAAAAGTCAATTTTCAACTGTCAATATTTCCATGGTATGGAATTTAAAACCCTCCAAAATGATGTATTACTTGACTATCCTTCCCATTTAAAATTTTCTAAAGGGTGGTTCTGGGGGCTGGGGGGTTGAAAGAGGGAAGGTGAATTTTGCATAAAAACTCATCTCCCTCCAAATTATAGTTGACGTGTTTCAGAGATTTTTTCGAAAATTTTTCTACTCCGAGATAATAGGGGTAGGAAGTTTTCAAATTGACACCCTGTATATTGTGAGAATTGCAACCGGAATGGCTCCTTCCAAATTTATTAATATGTCGATGAAAGGATTTCTTTCATATTGAAGCATGTAGGTTTTTTTTACTTATCCACCAAATTCCATATATCAATCGAGGAAGACTTCGTGTTTATTTTCTTTTAAAGTATTCATGCTTTTTTTTGACAATTATTCGCTATATCAAGAAACTCTACTTGTTAATGCGTGAAGTGCAGTTCGATGAACTTCAATTCTCTGAAGGAACGCTGACCTTCCAGATAAAAGCGATGTTTGTTTAACTTTTGAAATATCTTAATTCTACTTCTTCTTACATTTATTCGGATAAATCTTCATGGACCGAAGATGTACTCATGTGAATAAGTAAATAATTTTCATCTATCTAATTAATAGTATCTAGTATCTATAGATTGGCACCTATTACTTATGAAATGCAAGAAGCAAATTACCCATACCTACCATTGGAAATATTACACTAGATAGCTACCTACTTACTTTACTATACGAAATATTTACTAACTATGCTACTTTACCTACGACCCTAATATAGTTACGAGATACTTATCCATTCCCAATTTAAAATGGTCACTGGTCACTGAAGTCTAAAAAAGTTCACGACTTGCACAAGTGAAGTGAGATCATTGCAACTTAACCAACAAAAAGTTGAGGTTAAGATTTCGACATCGCTGAGGCAGATACTTTTGTGATATTTTAGTACTCCAGGCGTTCTTGGACAATATGCTATTGAACGAAGTTCGTCCGATGAATTCTCCCATGTCAAACTCCTTTTCAAAATATTTTGATGACTACTTCCGCTTTGCGATCTGTTTTTGGACTAGAAAAAAAAAACGCAGATTCGAGTCTTTACTGTCGAAACATGACTTTGTGAATTTAGAATGCGTGGTTTTTGTGCATTTGAAGTATCAAACATGTTAGGCATTATGTACGTACGTACGCTTAGGCATATTATATTTTCTTTTTTGGTTAGTCAAAATGCAGATGTTATGATATTATTATGTATTATTGTTTGTCCTACAGTCCGACTTTTATAATCTGATGCTCCAAAGAAATGTGAACTGGTGGCTCCCTACGTTAGCACTAAGCACGCCAATGGTCACCTAACCTCACCCTGTTTTTGCTGTATTTTTCCTCCCCTCGCCCCTCATACGGAAAGTGTCAAATTAAAAAAGCTAAACATTAAATGGTCCTTCCACTCTATTGCGACAAAATCAAATGTAGTATAATGAAAAGTACTTTGATTTGAGTACTATTGTTTTTGAAGCGCTGGTTGCGGAGTCACTTTCAAACAACATACATATATATAAAAGCTTAAATATGTAAATCTTTGTCTGTTTTTTAGGTATTTTTTGTCCTTAGAAAAAAGAATAGTCACGTTAGTTTTCTTCACACATACCATCATTTTGGCATGGTAATTTTGGGATGGATAGCCACCAAATTTCTCGGAGGTGGTCATTCTTATTTTGTGGGTATGGCCAATGCAGCGGTCCATACAATCATGTATGGTTACTATCTTTTGACGGCGTATGATAGTAAATTCAGCAAAATGATATGGCTGAAGAGATTTATTACACAAGCTCAGTTGGTAAGCTAGAAATAGTTAAAAAAAATTAACCCTATAATTTTAACCAAGTACAATAAAGTACGCTTTATTGATTGGGGCGTAAAATGCAACTACAAAGCCATAGGGTTAGTGCATTTTCTTCGTGCTAAATGGCCTAATACGGAAATTAGCTCCAAGAGCATAATTTATTCATAATATTCCCTAATTTGTTCGTTTTACATTTTATGATCGATATTATGCATTTGATTGTTTTTTTAGATCAAAATACTTGCATGCAAATTTTTATTATCCTTACTTTTTCTAGGTCCAATTTGGTTTTATTCTGTTTGTGTTCGTCCAGTTACTTTTCAGCGGCGAGAGCTGCAGATATCCCAAAATTATAGCGTACTTCATCATTCCGCAAAACATCTTCATGATTACTTTGTTTGGAGATTTCTACATCCGAACTTATATTTTGGCACCAAGAAAGAAGAAAATAGCAAAAGCTTTATTGAAAGATGGTGAGACGAATCTTCGATTTCATATGCCTGTAGTTTGTTTATTTTTTTCATAATCCAAACTTTAAGATTAATTGATCAATGAATTATTCTGAATGTTTAAAATCTTATAATGTGTGCTTTTAATTTTATTATTCATTATTTCTATTATTATACACTTATGTTCTTATTCCAGATTCATAGTGCTTCATTTGGTGAGAAAGAATACTTTTGAATCCAAAACAGTCATACATTGTGCCCCATGGATACCATATTATAGTTTTTAAGTTATATCTAATTTGTAGTAACTAATAAGACTTATTGATTGATACTTATTTTCAAGTCGGAGTTCTTATGTCCTCTTTATTTTGTTTTTGTGTTTATATCAAATAAAGTTAGATGAAACCATTGAATTTTGAGCTCCCCAATAACTATGTTTTTTTTTTGGTCGCTCACAAAAGACAACGTCTATACTACCAGTACCTAAGCGATACCATCAGGTACCATAAGCCCAAGAAATTAGGTGACGATTGATAATAATGATTGATTTCCGCTCGAAGTTCGTTTGTTATACCCTCAGCTCCTGCTCGAAAACCTGGTAGGGTGTGGCATTATGGAGCTGCAGACTGGAAAGGCCTAAAACTCTTTTTATCGACCTTTTTGTGATGCGATGTATACATTAAAACCAAAGATTCCTCCAAGGCTGCACAAGAGGTTACCGAAATAAATTCTTTAGTTATGGCATTGTACAGGGTCTCTGATTATATTTAAGCCAATACCTACAGCCTTTACTATTCAAGGTAGAAAAAAAATCTTCGTGCAAAACTTGAAAGTTTTTTCTCTATATTATCTCTAAACGTTATCAGAACAAACAAAATTGCATCGAAAAATGGAAGAACATAGACAACTTCAACTTTTTTCAATAGAACACCCTGTATTTTATGCCATAAAAAGATCTTTTCTTCCCTGATTCCAAATTTAAAAATATACATATTGATCACCTTTTGTACATAAAATTTTGGTACATAATTTTTTTTTTTATCCTTAAAAGTAAAGCTTGTAAGTTTGGGCTTAAATATAATCAAAGATACTGTACATTCCATACTCCAATAAACCAAATTGTGCCGGAAACAAGCAGGGTGCCTAAGCAGTTTTAAAAAAGAACACCGCATATCTTGCCTGGCATGTGACCAATGCGAAAAGCTTGATCATCCTTTACGGCTGCCATAAACGACTGCAAACGTATAATTAACAAGTGCGTTATCGACTTTTGGACTTTCAAGCGAATCAAGGTCCTTCTAGTCCTTTATTGCCAAGACCATAGGAAAAAAAATTCACAAGGAAAGCAGATCTTTTCGCAAAACAATTTGCATCCAATTCCACGATGGAGGACAACGGCAGAGCGCCACAGGTAGTGCCACACATTGGTTCTTACATGGACAACGTTGTATTCAAACCTAAACCTATCAGGGAAACTTGCAATCGTGACACTGGGAAATCTTTGGGTACCGGCATTTCACCAATTATCCTCAAAAATTTCGCACTAGAATTGGCTTCAGTTCTTTGCAAACTGTTTTTATTCTTTCACAGTGGAGGCGTTTTTCCCGTCTATCTGGAAATGTGCGAAAGTGCCCAAAAAAGGGGAAGAACACTTTTCTTACCAATTATCATCCCATCTCACTTATATCCGTACTTTCGAGAGTAATGGAAAAGGCAGTCAATCTGAAACTGGTTGAATATCTCGAAGCCAATGAGCTCATCTCCGTCAAACAATACGGGTCAGTCATATTTCGAACTCGATTATCGAAAAACATGGCGAATCCGGAATTGTAGCATTGGCAAGGCTTCTGATGAGGTGTAGCATAAAGGTCACCTCAGCAAACTTCCATCGTAGTATGATCTTGCGAACCAATTTTGCCATTGGATGGGGAGCTTTAAGGAAGGCAGGTCACTGCATGTTATGGTCGATGATGTGTGACACTGTTTCTCATTTTTATAAATAATTTGTTAAATGTGACCAGACACCCCATAAACAGCTTTGCGGACAATAGAAGCTTGATAGCGTCTTTCTCTTCTGACGCTTACTGCAGTCACTTCGACACGCCTCAAACGAGAACAGATTAACTCTATCAACAGTGATCTTGACACCATTACCAACTGGGGCCTCAACAACCTAGTCAAATTTAATGTTTCCAAAACTAAAGTATTCTCAAAACAGAAATCTTTTGCCAATGATAACCCAGTTTCAAGGAGACAAAACCTTTCTATCAATCCCTCAGTATCTCTTTTTGTGGTGACCGCATCGACCAACTTGTCTTGGCATGACCATGTATCTTTGTTCGCCAAAACGCTCCTCAAAAATTGGGTTTTTTGTTTCGTGCAAAAAAACTTCTTCACTTCTGAACAACTTCTTCTCCTTTATAAGGTTCAAATCAGACCATGCATGGAATACTGTTCCCACATCTGGAGCGATGCTCCTAAGCATTCGTTGGCTCTATTAGATGCAGTACAAAGAAGAGCAATAAAAATGATCGATAATCCAACTCTCACCGATTTATTGCAACCACTCGACCATAGACACAAGTTGGCCGAATTGTCGTTATTCTATCGCTATTACTATGGGATGTGTTCTGACGATTTGACCAGCCTCACTCCAGCTAGGAGAAGTTATCTGAGAACCACAAGAACCTCCACGGGCCTCCCATCCGTATATGGTAAAGTTGGCTACCCGTAGGACCACTAAATATGGGTTTTCTTTTTGTTGGCGTACTGCCCACCTATGGATCTCCCTGCCTCCTGAAAAAAAATTAAGTTTCATTCATGAAATTTTTGAACTAATTAGGTTTTCTGGACCTAAGCCTCACTTGTTAATGAGTAAAAATTTATATTTTTACTCTTTTCTGTTAATGATTTGAAGTTGCAAGGTTTCTGAGAACCTGGAAAATCTTATTTTTTTGTGTCCAAGTCTAAGTCACTGGCGTCCAGAAATAACCTACTCTCCGAATTGTTTTATTTTGAGCTGGGGGCATAATTTGCACGCACTTGACTCAGACCTGTAATCTCGATTTAATAATTTACCCTTTTCACTGAAAAGCATGGTAGATGTGAACACTGAACAGCCAAGGTTTGTGCTCGGAACATTGAATCAAGATATTGTTTTTTTAATTCAGAAGCAGTTTGTCTAATGGAATGTAACGTCTGTTGAAATCCACCTGAATTATCTACTTGAGTGTTTAGGCAAGAGAGGATGGCTTTGTAGTTTTTCATTTATTTCTATTCCGCCCATAAAATCAAGCCTATTATAGTTTTTTGATGAGATGTTATTGTCAATTGTGAGTTTGGACTGGTTCTTTCAATACTTTACAGAAGCAGAGGAATTTCTGGAGGGATGTTCTTGGATGCGTGTTATCCTATACTTATAGATCCCGTTGCACTATCCACCATTTAATTTAGATATATGGGTCGAAGCTTGGTAGAACTTGTTTTAGAACTCCTGGTCATTGCAATGTTTCGGCAATTTTTGATGTTCCGAATGCCAACTTTTCAGATTAACACCCGGTATATTATTTTTCTCATTTTCCGAACATAAGTCACACCTAAATTATCCTGAATTTCTAACGTTCCATCTTTAGTATCCTGTAGGTGAGGATAAAACACTTCAAGAAAATTGAAGTCGTAAAACGTAGCATTGGCACTGATTGCGATGCCATTTGTACGAAAGTTTCAAAAGAAAAGAAAGATGATTATTGCCAAGTGCGATCTAGGTGAAGAGTTTAGGAAACATTGTCACAATATGTCTTGTTTTATGGAATGTTGAAATGCAGTATATCGTACAGATATAGTACATATTTCATATATTTCTGTTGAACATATCAAAACTGCAAGAAGATAAAATTCTAAGCTGAAAATGTAAAAAAATAGGTGGGTACAGGGTATTTGATTATATTTAGGCCTATACCTACAGCCTTCACTATTTAAGATATATTTTTTTTTTTTAAATACAGTGTCGAGAAAAATAGAAATGGCTTCAAATGGTATGCAAGAGGTCTCCATGTGAATTAGTTTTAGGAGAGTTTCGAATTGGACCGTGAAGCAGTCATATATAGTGATATTGTTTTGCGAAAAGTTAAGTTTAATTCAAGAAGTTTTGCCTGTTTTAGTAGCGCTAGTTTTGTCGTGATTTATGAGTTATGGTCTTGCATAAAATTTATCTCAGTCTGGAAAAGAAGCCTCAGTTATCTACAAACCCTCATACGTAATAAAATTAATTACAATCAATGAATTATGAGCTGGTTCCAATACATAAATATAACTTTTCCCCAATAAAAAAAAACTAGCAACATTTCCTTAGAATGTCAACATTTTAATTATCATGCAACTAGCTATTTCCGTGTTACACTCTTATTTTTATGCTACATAAAAAAAAAACAGAGAAGTTTTGTAATTTTGAAAGTTTTTTCATTCAGATATAGAACCTTCAGACAGGGTTTTTCACGGCCTCATACAAAATAACGCATTAGCCTTTCGCATGAACTGCGCTGATAGGAAAGCTTTTGTTACGATGAAAATCCTGAATAGAAAGTGTTCGAAAAAGCGACTTTAATAGGAAACGCTTTTTTGTATACTATGTTTTATGTTTTGCGCGTTTCTGTTATTCAAGAAAAAGTTAATGATAATGAACTTGGAAAACGAACTGCATATAATTGTTTTGCTAATAATCTTACTTTTGAAACCAAATTTTCACGGATTCCAGGTCCACTAAAACTAACTTCACAAACAGTGACAACTTTTATTAAATAAAGTGTCCTTATAAAAATTCACATATCGCTTATCAAAACATACAAAACAAATCTCGTACTGACTGACTAACTGTCTACTTATCTAAAATAATATGATGTTTCCCAGCATAGAGACGCACTTGGCGTGAACAACTGGATTCATAGAACCTTGCCAGGGTCTTGATGCAATTTTATAACAACATTTTATAAAAAATGGACCTGATTAAGTTGAAATGCAACTTTCGTAATGTTATGATAGACAAGTTTAAATTAACTCCACCACATGAAAAAATTAGATCACGTCATAATGTTGCTAAAACCTCTTAAACCAAATTATTTTTTTACTTCTCTCAAAAGAATCAGGATATTTTTCAGCTACTTTCATTCGAGTTTTTGACTAAAAACTTTCAAAGGGGGCTTTTTGGCTTTTCAGGTGCCTTTTTAGCAGCGTCGTTAAAAACGACACCTAATGAATTTTTATATGCCTGTATACCCAGAGCTGAGCTCAATTGGAAATTTCCTCTTGAAGCTTTAACGTTTTTTTTTCCTTCTGTTGTTTTTTTGTAAGTAACTGTGATGCTGCACTAGCATCACACTTAATTTTAAGCTTTTAGCCTTAAAGGTGAAAATTAAAAATACGATTTTCATGCAAATAAGCGAGAACTGGGTGTAGATTAAAAGTTTCTAAACTAGGTTAGTAGAGAATTTATTTTCATGGAGGAGAAAAAGTAGTTATGTACTTATTTAATTAAAATTAGAAAGCTTTATATGTATCTATATTTTCTGTTGAGAAGTTTAACGGCCGACTCCTCATACAATTTGTATGATGATTAATGTTTAAAACCTTAAAACGCTATTTATCATTGTGGTAGCAACTTATCGCTTGCAATAAACGATTAATCGATCATAATTACTATCAATGGAATGTAAACGATATTTTCTATCAAAACGAAGCAAAAACGTCGGAAACAAAACATGACAATGAACGAATAACTGCCTGCAAGGAAGCAGAAAGTATACGATTACTGCGTACCGCCATTTTATCGAATACCCAACATCGTTTTATGGACATCCTGTAGATATCCATTTGACCTACGCCAATGGACTAGAAACTTAGTTCATCCGACACACGTCCAGTTGCTTTCCAAGGGAAGTATATATCAAGATCAAAATTATTGGCTTTTTCCTAAATTGAATGATTTGGCAATTCCGTGTAGATCGGCCACCATTTGCCAGTCGTTCTTGCTATAACAATGCTATAACAAAGGAACATCCCATGGATCCAATAAATTGGACACGCACGCATAAACCAGTAATTATAATCTGCAAAATTTTTTTTGGGTGTCAAATAGATATATATCGGGAGAATTTTTTTATTTTATTTTTATTACAAGACAAGGTCTACCTAAGCGGTTCCATAAGTGGAAAAAATTAAGTCACGATTAACCCTTCATTTGAACACGTTAAGGTTAAATTGTTGAGGAAATGAAAGTAGGAGGCAGGGAGTTCCAGAAGTGAGCAGTATGCTACCAAAAAAAAGCCCTATATTTAGAGGTCCTCGGGGTAGACTACTTTACCACATACGGATGGGTTGCCTGTGAGATTCTTGTGGTTCTTAAATAACTTTTCCTAGCTGAAATAAGGATTGCCAGATCGGCAGAACATCTCCCAAAGCAATAGCGATAGCATAACGACAAGTCAGCAACCTTGCGTCTATGTTAGAGATATTGCAATGAATGACTTCGATTATCGATCATTTTTATTGCTCATCTTTGTACTGCATGAAGTTGTTTGCACGAAACAGAAAACCTAATTTTTGAAAAGCGATTTTGGCGATTGAAGATACATGGCCATGCCAAGGCAAATGGGTCGATGCGGTCACCCCGAGAAAATATACTGAGGAATTGATAGAAATGTTTTGTCCCGAAATCTTTGAAACTCGGCGGAAAATTTCTTATATGAGAATACTGTTGCTTGAGTTTTGGAATCATTTAATTTGACTAGGTTGTTAACGTCCCAGTTGGTAATGGTGTCAATATCACTGTTGATAGAGTGAATCTGTTCTCGGGCGAGGCGTGTTGAAGTGGCTGCAGTGAGCGGTTTGTCAGAAACAAAAAATGCCATCAAGCTACTATCGTCCGCAAAGCTTTATATAGGGTTTCTTGTGACATTTAACAAATGAGGAACAGTGTTGGGGACAGAATTGAGCCTTGAAGACAGAAGATACGTATCAACCACAACATGCAGTGACCTACTTTCCGGAAAGCTCCCCAGCCAATAACAAAATTCGTTGGAAAAACCATATGATGGTAGTTTGCTGAACAGACCTTTGTGCTACACCTGATCAAAAGCCTTGGAGATGTCCGATGCTATAATTCAGGATTCGCCATGTTTTTCGAGAGTCGAATTCAAAATATAACTGACGTATGCCAGCAGGTCCTTGCTGATCTTATTGGCTTCGAGGTATTTGACCAGTTTCAGGTTGTCTGCCTTTTCCATATCTTGCCGCTTTTCGGGATGGGCTGCACTCTTGCACTTCTTCAGAGAGACGGAAAATGCCTCGATTGTAAAAGAGAGGAAACAGTTTGCAAAGAACTGAAGCCAAAGCTTAAAGCTTTAAGGTATTTTGATGGAAGGCCGTCGGAACCACAATATTTCCCAGTGTCAAGTTGCAGAAGAATTTTCCTAATAGCTTTAGGTCTAAATACAACGCTGTCCATGTAAGAACCAATATGTTGCAGTTCCTGTGGCGCCTAACTATTGTACTCCATCGTAAAATTTGATGCAAATTGTTGGGCAAACAGATCTGCTATTTGTTTTGACGATACTACTATGGAATTATTGTCCTTAACTGAAGGTGGAAAGGAAGAAGATGAGTCGGCCACCTTGCGTCTATGTTCAAGAGATAACAATAAATGAGTTGAATTATCGATAATTTTTATTGCTCATCTTTGTACTGCATCTAATAGAGCCTACGAATATTTGGGAGGATCGTTCCAGATGTGGGAGCAGTATTTCATACATGGTCTGATTTGAGGCTTATAAAGGACAAGAAGTTGTTTGCCCGAAACAAAAAACCTAATTTTTGAAAAGCGATTTTGGCGATCGAAGATACATGGTCATGCCAAGACAAGTAGGTCCAGGGTCGATGCGGTCACCCCGAGAAAAAATACTGGGGAATTGATAGAAATTGGTCCCGACGTCTTTGAAACTCGGCGGAAAATTTCTTATATGAGAATACTGTTGCTTGAGCTTTGGAAGCATTGAATTTGACTATGTTGTTAACGTCCCAGTTGGTAACGGTGTCAATATCACTGTTGATAGAATGAATCTGTTCACGGGCGAGGCGTGTTGAAGTGGCTGCAGTGAGCAGTTTGTTGAAAAAGAAAAATGCCATCAAGCTACTATCGTCCGCAAAGCTGTATATGGGGTTTCTCGTCACATTTAACAAATGAGGAACAGTGTTAGGGACAGAATTGAGCCTTGAAGACAGAAGATACATACCGACCACAACATGCAGTCACCTATCTTCCAAAAAGCTCCCCAGCCAATAACAAAATTCGTTGGGAAAACCATATGATGGTAGTTTGCTGAGCAGACCTTTGTGCCACACCTGATTAAAAGCCTTGGAGATGTCCGATGCTACAATTCAGGATTCGCCATGTTTTTCGAGAGTCGAGTTCAAAATATAACTGACGTATGCCAGCAGATCCTTGTTAATCTTATTGGCTTCGAGGTATTTAACCAGTTTCAGGTTGACTGCCTTTTCCATTACTTACGGATATAAGTGAGATGGGACGATAATTATTATTGCTAGGAAGAGTTTTCTTGCCGCTTTTCGGGATGGGCTGCACTTTGGCATTTCTCCAGAGAGACGGAAAATGCCTCGATTGTAAGAGAGACGAAACAGTTTACGAAAAACTGAAGCCAAAGCTTTAAGGTCTTTTGATGGAATGCCGTCGGAACCACAATATTTCCCAGTGTTAAGTTGCAGAAGAATTTTCCTAATAGGTTTAGGTCTAAATACAACGCTGTCCATGTAAGAACCAATGTGTGGCAGTACCTGTGGCGCTCCACCATTGTCCTCTATCGTGAAATTTGATACAAATTCTTGGGCAAAGAGATCTGCTTTTTCTTTTGACGATGGAATTAATGTCCTTAACTAAAGGTGGAATGGAAGAAGATATATGAAAAATTTTTCTTATGGTCTTGGTGAAGGATCGAAAGCACCTTGATCCATTTGGGCAGTCCAAAAAGTCGATTACGCACTTGTTTGTTGTGTAATTCCTTAGCCTCGTTGGTTATACGGTTGCAATTATTTCTGGCAGCTGTAAAGGAGAATCGAGTTTGTTCGCATTGGTTCCCAGTCAGACACATCGCTCATACGCACTGCTTATTAAACTAGGGTTTTCCGACACGGGATATTTTATTGGAGTGTGGAATGTACAAATCCATATCTAATTAAGGAAATTATTCAGGTAACCTCTTGTGTAGCCTCGGAAGAATCTCTGGATTTAAAGCAAACATCGGACCCCGCGAAGGACGAGAAAAGAGTTTTTGGCCTTCCCAGTCTCCCGATCTATTGGCATCCATATGATGTCCACAAATGATCCATAGAGAAACGGACCCATAGAGGACATCCATAGACATGCTTAGTTTCTTTACTTCCTTTGAGTTGTGGGTTATGCTATTGAAAAAACATATAAGTAACCCTAGTGTTATCAATAGTTATACCCCTTTTTCTTTGGAAACAGTTTCAATGGAATACAGCACCACAATTTACACACACTAATGCTCTGTTTTACACAACATTTATAAAATAATTCAGGAAGTTCGGAATCCGCGTCATTATTTTCCGCCATCTTGAGTCTACCTATATAGTTTCTATAGCTGGTCAACAAAGTTTAACTGACAAAAACTTTTAAAAATCCTTTTTATTTCTTTTCTAATATCAGGTATACTTTTGTGGACCTTTACAGAACGATTTCTTGAGTTTTTAGGAGAATGTAGTCTCAAAAACGACTTCATTAAAACGTATGTATGAAGATGTCAATTTCATGACTTAATAAAAAACTTCATTAGACGACCGAAGGTCTAAAAATCGTCCGACCGCAATAGTTTCTTTTTGATACTCATGCTTTTTTTGTGTTGTGGACTTATGCGTTTCTCAATGTCGCTTTTAATTCTTTTTCGCACGGAGTTATTTGTCTCTATATTTGCAAGACAAAGACAGAATAAACGGGGCACGTGAGAAACCCCTCCGATGTTTCACCGGCATGGCTAACTGGGATTCCTCGCGGTCCTCATTTACTACACTACAGTTTGTTCGTTTGAACCCGCCGGTTACCCGTCTATGCGCCGAAGACATTTTTACGTGAAAAATTCGAATTGTCGAAATTTTGTTGCAATATTTATTTTTAAGGAAAATTCGCGTTTTTTTTTTCGTGACTTGAAATGTGACATTTTTCTTTAATAATTGACTTTTATAGGTAGCGAATTTTGAAACATTTATATAAGAACATTTAACGTTATTTACAAAGTTGAAATCTTGAATTAAATAAATTAAAACGTAAGTACCTACTATTAATTTTTTTATAAAATAATATAATTGTTTGTCATACATTAGCCTAGAAAACATTTAAACTTGAAAAGTTCATCAACATAAACATTTTTCCAAAAGTCATAAGTACGGTAAAATTCAAAAAATTAATCATTCATTTGAATTTCCGAATTGCCCTGCCTTAGTGATCCTATCATAACATTTGTCGTTCTATTGAATAAACATTGTTCAATTCACTCACAGTAATCCTGATGAGTTGAAGTCCACATAAGGACGCGAGCTAACGTTAGAAAATCAGGTAAATCATATACCTACTTACTACCACTTAGGTAATGCAAAATGAAATAAAATATTTTTTTCGGCATGACTTTTATCAAAGAATGAACAAATTGGTAGGCTAAATCTTAAATGAGCAAGTCTCCTAATCGTAAGCATAATCTCAATCATCTTTGCAAAAATCTTGAATATAAATAAGTCCTTACTGTATCGAACAACAATAATCAGAAAAAAAATTGCACATCTTAAAAATTATAAACCAATTAATAACTTTTTAAAGTGGGTTGAAAACATCAACCAGTAAAACTCAGAAAATATTTTGCCAAATCTGATGAAGCTGCTCTTAAGTATAGGATTCTTTGGTATAGGTAAGTACTAAACAAATGTGTCGGAAATTTAAATATTTTAGAACCTTTGTCCGTGTGTCATTGCTAGAAACACTTAATCCAATTAGTTCCTATGTTTAGTTCGTAAGTTATCATAGAGGATGAATAAAAAAAAAGAGAGATATCTCGCTACATCAACGTTTTGCATTTATTTAAATACTTCAACAGGAATAAATGTCAAAAGAAAGAAATAGGTATATTAGATATAGGTACACGAAAGATTATCAAATAAAAACATTACAAAAAAAAAATATTAAAGTACTAAAATCAATGAAATATTCCAAATACAAATGACTAATAACAACCGCCAAAATTCAATTACACCGAATGAAATAAATTTTCAAAATTAATAAAACTTGTCGAAAAAATTAAAAATACAGAATAAATTTAAACACAAAAAAGTAACAAGATATTTCTCCTGTTCCATTTGTCCCGATAGGTAATCGATGAACAGAACCTGAAAATTTACCTCAGGGACACGAGTTACGATCAAAGAATTATTTATGTTCATTTTGTTTACTTACTTTCTACTTTGTCTTCTAATACCTATCATCGTTGTCTTCTATCAAAAAAATTCAAGGTAGAAAATTCAATTGCATTTTATCTCAACTTTCGAGTTTTTCGGCTGAAATAGTTTCATGTAGACGACTAATTTTTTCTATTGTTTTAATCCAGTAATATTATATATTTTTTTTTAATGGGTTTCAATTTTTAGTCAGATTTCGGAAATTTATTATCAATTATAATTTACTTACTACGTTGAAAAAACTCTTAACAAACCAATTAACAATCGGAACTGGTTCGGCGTCTAATTTTTTTATAATTGGCATTGCATAAACCACGAAAGAAAGTGATTTTTAAATAGACACGCTGCCCAACCGCGATTACTATTTACTTAGAAGTAAACTTTGCTTAGAAGCAAATTTCCTAAAGCTGACCATACACCAGACGCAAAATTATTAAAAGAATGTTAAATCGCCGACCCCTTTGGCAGTTTGTCAAAAACTTTTTGACTAGAAAAATAATTATGCTGAAGGATTCAGAACACAGCATTCTTTAAAGGTATATAGGATCGTAGATTGCATTTGGAGTCGTTACAGCTTGTTACAGCCGCTCAAGCACTGCTACCTTTCCAGTGCGTGACTCTGCTTCTAGTTGGTGTCCAAGATTTGTAGGCTTCCTGGGTGGTAAGTGCCCACCTCTTGGGGTGTTAGCCATACCCCTCAAGGTATTTCAGCCTTTTGCAGAAGTGAGCAGGGTATTCACAGATTGATTGTTCTGTAGTTTATGCGTTCTGTTCTAAAGTCTCTTCTGGTCATGTCAAGAAGTTGTTCAGGTCTCTTTGCCGAGATAGATATGAACCTTTTTGCCTGTCTCAGACCCGGAAACGATCTCCACTGAGCTAGCATTCGGTCCTTTTCCCATCGGTTCATTTCTTAGGAGACGTGGCTTTTCATTAGTCCACAAAAAGGCGTTACAGTGCCTTGCTTTGCGAGACGGTCTGCCTCCTCGTTGCCCTCTATACCCTGTTGTCCTGGCATCCACATCAGAGTTACTTTTACAAACTTTGCTTTTACCCTCCCAAACCAGCTGCGAATTGCACTTGATGGCTCCCAGAGTCCTTAGAGCCGCTTGACTGTCGGACAGTGTATAAATGTGCTCTCTTAAAAGCCTGTTGGGCACAGATGTTCATGGCTCAGCTTGAAATATTGTGGGCGTTTTACTCATTGCTAAGGAGAGTTTAAAGTTTGGTCCCAGTTATTCCTAGACTGAATCCTTCTGTTAGCTTCGATCCATCTGTGTACCACAATGATGCGTAGTCCGGTTGCATCTATACTCTATAGGACTATCTACGAAAAAAAATAAAATAAATAAAAATATTTTTTAGAATTTTTCGTATTATTTCGTTTTAAGAAATGGTATTTGAAGCAAAGGCCTTAGATTGTTTTAAAAATTATCATGCAATATGATGTACCACAGAAAGTTTTATATTAGTTGCAGTGCAATTAAACAAAATTAAATAAAAAACTGTCATTTTTTTATCTCTATACCTGTCTAAGGACGAATCTTACTCACGCGACACTCGCCTCTATAATGTGTATTATCGTTGGTATCATGATAAATTTCGAGAATGAATGGTACGCTTTATAGGCAGAATGGAATTCATTCATACATTGTCTAAGAACCTACGCTCCGTGAATATTTTCGTAAGTTTCTGTCTGCGAAATTAGTATGAATAGTGGAACGGAGACAATACCGAGAAGTAAGATTTAAGCTTTTTAATTCTTAGCCGGCAGGCATTTTCGAAAATTGCCGCCGCACTATTATAATATTTATATACTGTGTGACATAGAAATTGCAACACCCAGTAAATGTAAATAAATTTCATTAATATTTTGGGAAGTACCTAGTAGGTAAGGATAAATCAATGAACTATAGTCAAAAACTGGAATGCGCACACATTGCCATATCCGCCAAAAAAATGTAGCCATGAAAGACAGATGCCACAGAGGGGAATGTTGTTTTTTTCTGTTGCTCGCTGACATATGACGTTTTGGAAAGTTTTGTCATATTTACCTTCACAGGTTTCATCAATTGGAATACGTGTTGGAAGCAATTTTCGCCATTTAACATAATGAGTGCGACAAAAACAGGTATCCCCTCCGCAGCAGCGGCACTAGGCTTCAGGTTCGTCAATATGTGTTAGCATTCCAGTTTTTGGTTATAGTTCATTGGGATAAATATGAATAACAATCGATGACATTTTCAAACAAATTTTTTTTTTTTTTTTTTTTTTTTACGGATATGGGCACTCGCAAGGAAATGTCCTATCACGCTCGAGAAGCGGCAAGTGCGCGGAAATGTCGGTGTATGTTGGTCTTGAAACGGTTCAAGTTGTAACCTGCAGGGAAAACCGTCGCAGGGAGTTTATTCCACAGCGATGCTGTTCTCCAGAGATATGAATTCTGATATAATGAGGTTCTTGGTGCCTCTAGTTTGACAGTAAATTCATGGTTACCGTCTGTTTGACGGGTTCGCCTGGTAGGTGCTACTCTCGGTGGAATCATACGTGCCAACTCTTCAGAGCATTTTCCGTGATAGTACTTGTAGAAGAGAGATAAATCGCCCACAGATCTGCGATGTTCGAGACCATCCAAGTTACGAGTAAGTGCGGGGTCATTGATCAGCTTGATAGCTAGTTTTTGCACGGTATTCAAAAGCATTAAGGTATGTTTGGGTGCTGCACTCCATATATGTGAGCAGTACTCCATAGTTGGTCGAATCTGGGCTTTGTAGAGTGTCAGCAATTGGCTTGGTTTGTACAGATGTCTTGTACGAAATAGCACCCCCAGCTTTTGGGAGGCCCTTTTAGCAATATCTGCCACGTGACTGTGCCAAGACATGTTGGTCTCTGCAGTAACCCCCAAGATGTTCAACTGACTCTGTAATGTGACAGCACTTCCAGATAGCATGATGTTTGGCTCACCGGTGCTGGTCTTTTTTGAAAACAGAGCTGCTTGGGTTTTCTGCGCGTTGAACTGTACAAGGTTTTTGTTACCCCAGTCCTCTATTATCTCCAGGTCGTTATTTATCTGCGATATTTGAGTTAGTCTAAGATGATGGAATCCACGTGCGGAAAGACCTGTGGGTGGTATGAGTGAGGAGACTACATTGCCATCGTCTGCAAAGCAATAAAGTGGATTTACTGTTTTATCTATGAGGTCATTTATAAAAATCAGGAAAAGAGTTGGCGAAAGGATTGCTCCCTGTGGCACACCAGCATTTATTTGGTAAGAGTTGGAGTTCTGGCCATCCAGTGCAACATAAATGGATCTGTCCTTTAGGTAACTTTCAAACCAAGTGCAAAGTTTCGGCGATAATCCCATTGCTTTGAGCTTGTTGAGCAGATTTATATGCCAAACTTTGTCAAATGCTTTAGATATATCTATCCGGAAGTAGAGCAATTGGTCTATAGTTTAACGGATCTGTCTTTTTTCCTTTCTTTGGAATGGGTTGTACTGCGGCAGACTTCCATGATGATGGATATACTCCTTGCCTGTAAGACAAATTGAATAATTTTGCGAAAGTTGGGGTGAGTTCGTTGGCGCAATTTTTGAGTACTATTGCGGGAATGCCATCCGGACCCATTGCTTTGTTTGTATCCAGCTTTTTTAGGGATTTTCGTATTTCTCTGTGACAAAAGGGTACCTCTGGCATACTATGGGAAACCCTTTCAATGAACGGTGGAGTTTTTCCGTTTGGCACTGTTAGGTTGGAGTTGGAGGATAACATTTGGGCAAGCATATTGGCTTTTTCCTCTGATGTTGTGGCTAAGTGATTATTTTT